TCAAGTTTTGATATTTATTAAAGTTTTTATACGTTTACTAGTTTAATTTATGAAACACATTAAAATAATCTGAACTTAAATAAATGTTTATGTATATTTAAAGGTGTAGAATTCAGAAGAGGAGAATGGTGAATAGGGTGCAGGAGGCAAAAAAATTGTGCAAAATAGCAATATTATTAATTTTCCTTTAATCCGGTGGTCACCTTCTTCCATTTCAGTTCTCAAACAAGAAATGATCAATACCATTTGGCTAGCTTATTGTCTTTGAAATGACGTTACACCAAAACATGCTTATGATTTGCCTAAATTCGATGACATTTTAAGACAGGGTGGATTGACCCCTTGGGAATCGATGAGATTTCAAAGGCCATCAGTGATGATTAAGAGTCGACAGCCGAACATGCGCCGGCAGTTGATCGGCATAATATAGATCCTTTTGATTACAAAAACAAAAAGGTTTATTAAAACTTATAATTAATTGTTAATTGATATAATAGTGATATATATTCATTATTTAACACCACACACAACAAACTGCAAGGAAGAGATATTATTCTCAATAAAGCTAAAACGATTGTTTTTCCTTTTCTTTCTAAAATTTATTTTTTTTATATCGATTCCCGAATCAAAAGTAATTCAATTAATTTGATAACTTAATACCATTGCTCGTGACTGAAAAATACTGTTTCCACAGAAGATACATTAATATAACAATTGTTATATACAAACCACTTGCAAAATTAAAAATAATAATAATAATACTCGTTTTAAGTCATTAAAAATTAAAAGTGCCAATATGGCTGATCGAACCTTTGAACTGCGATGTATCTGGTTTGATATTATGATGCAAGAAGTGTTGATTACATTGAACGAAGACGTTTAAGTACGATTCCTATTTAAAATCCATGGGCACGAAAAATTTCTGAAATTAAAATTCATCAGAAAGACGTATCCTAAAATAAAAGTTGATAATGAACCAACATTACTGAATTCTCCTTCTTCTTATCGAGTGAAACACTCGACTACAGAAAGTAATACTACAGAACTTTAGTAATTTACTACAGAAAGCAAGGCACAAGCTGAATAATTTTGAAGGAATAGATTTAAGAATTAAATTAAGCAATTTTATCTCGAATATTAAATAAAATTGCATCAATACATCAAGTGCAGCCATGGCATTAATTAAAATTGAACTTTTGCGCAATTCATTGTACAAAAATAATTTGTGATTTTGTTTCTAAAAGCTTTTTATGTTTGCAAGATTAAAAGTAATAATATTATAACTGTTATTTTTATATTCTTAGTCTAATTATTATTTTTAATTTATCTGCGCAATTACTTGAATTACGACTGTAGTGTATGCTGTATATTAGGGAGGAAATTGTCAGGTGGTCAATGGCCCACCAGCGGCCGAGCAGTAAAGTCGCTGAACACTGGTAGTTCGGTCCGAGGTTCGAATCCCGCGAACTGGCTGGCTGCATGGGTGTTTTCGTGGTTTTCCCCAAGTATAACGTGTATACGAGCCAGTTTCTCTTAGAAAGTCTTTCACGAAGGCATTCCTCCCCTCAGGCAGATAGCCCTAGTGTGCTTTGTCATAATTAAATACACCAATACCAATACACCAAGTCAGGGGGTCAATAATGAAAAACTTTCTTTCAAAAGGGAAGAAAAGCGTTGAAAGACTCTGTTTTAGAATATTTCGCTAAAAAATGTTTTTAAGCTGTGCACTTGATTGAATTCTGAAGGCCATCGTGAGAAGGTCTGAGACAATTATTTGACAGTTTGAACTTATCCTTTTAGACTATGGAACCTTCCAACGACTTTGGTTTTTATTGAAGAAACGTTGCCTTTTCTCACGAACTTCCGTCACATGGAAAAATGTATGAATAGTTGAGAAGGATCTAGAACATCGAAGTTATATATTATAGGAGCATAAGGATACTAATTTAAAGTTGCTTTATTTGCAGTGTCAACGTTTTGGGCGCAAAGCTACTTTTGTCATGACGAACACCTGCTAACCTTGTCATAATATTTCCACAGAAGATTAAGCAATGATCCTGACAAATCTAAGGTTGTTTGTGGTTAGTTTTGCTCTATAAAGTCCGACACTAAGTGCTTTTTTGGTCTATGCATTTACTTCTAAGTTTTGTTAAAACTTTTCAAAAATTTCAACGTCTGTATTTCAATTGACAGAAACAAAACAAAATTTCTGTTTTACCGACAAATCTGTATAAACATTAAACATAGTGGAGTCGAATCTCTGGACCGTCAGAAGCCTGTAATATTTATCATAGGAACTTGGGGTTTATAACATGTTATGTCAGGCAAATAATGAAGATTATTTTTTTGGCTCAAAATTCCTGTTATTTTATTTTTAGACATTCTTTGTATAAAGTAATCTTAAGATGGAAGCATGGAAGTAGACATAGTTTTTGAAGTTTGCCAATAGTAGAAAATGTTGTTAACTTACTCTCGAAAGTAAAAAAAGGTAATACTCCTTGCGAAAAAAAAAACAAAAGGAAATGCTACATAAGCTACTTGTAGCCGACGAGTCACCATTTACAAGCGAGCTTTTATTGATTTAAACTACTCAAATGAATATTAATATCTACAGCCACAGTTGCCAAATTACAGCTTTAAAAAGACTTTTATTGCAGTTGCTAAGGCAACAAGAATCAGTGTAAATGTTACGCTGATTCGTTTTGCCTTAACACCTCCAATAATTGTTATTTGGCGAATTATTCTAACTAAGATTTAACAAGGCATTTGTCTCCATACAAATGGCTAGAATAAAAATAGATCAAATGTTTCACAAGATATATGTATCAGTATCTTCAAAATAATGCTTCAAAAAGCATTATTGCCTATTTCCGTAATGAGTGAGGAAGAAAGCACTATTTCGAAATTTCTCGCATGGCGTAATCCTACATCACAAAGAGAGACTCAAAAAGTCACACGCTGACTCAGGAAATCAAATCTAGTATGATTTTCTTATTGCGGGCCTATCATCTCTTGCTGAGGTGTTTACTTATTTTAAAAACTGTAGTAAATCTGTGAAGGAAATGTGCACATGGATAAAGGGTTTGGTACGTTTTCTGGACATTCAGATGCCCGATACCTTGGTCTCAGTCATTCGATAGGTGTATTTGACTGACAGGTATATGCAGTTTGTAACCTTTCCCAATTTCTGTTTAAACACTTGAGACCTTCTAGAATTTTAGTTCACTCTTAGTAGCAATGAAAGGTTTTTTTTTTTCAACGTATGTGCCATGCTCCAACACGATTTGTGTTCTTGGAATATTCAGATGTACTCTGTCGAATATCCAACAGAAATGTAGAAGATATGATGAGAGCCTTCTATTTCTGGTATTGTACCTGATTTGACAGTATTATAATTATCCTTGAACTATTGTACTGTATTGTATATTCAAACCACTGTACTGGAACCACTTCATTTCCTTCATCCCGATTAAGAGGTTGATCTTATCAAATTCGCGTGGAATATCACACGTAAGAAAAGCAAGAGTTGGAATGTTCAAAAGATTCAAGCTAAAACTTTCATCTTCGGATGCAGTTTGGCAAGCCCTGATGCCCGAGAAAGAAACACCTCTTACTGACAGAATCTAGGATTCGTGACTAAAAGAATTAATTGCTGCTTTTCCAAAATCACTAATAATGTAAAGATAATTTTATTCAAGGTCATGTTCAGCAGCAATGTCTTCCAAATTTTGAAATAAATGAGTGTAACACTCGGAATTTGCTGGTTATTGAAACAAGAACAAGAGGAAATACTCTTGTTTTTGTTTCTGCATTTTCACCAGTTTCAGCAGGTGCGGGGATGTATACATTTGAAAGAGAAGTACTGGAATAGTTTTAAATCCATGATTCAATAAAGGCCTCCTTTCGATAGTGAAGCTTCTTTTTTTTGTCGTGAACAAGACTATGCGTTAAAGAATGAATCATTTCTTAGAAAAATTTCAAAACCAATAATTCTAATGGAATATCAATATTTTCCAAAGTAGTTGACTTTGGAGGCAAAACCTCTTTACAAGATTTTTTTATAACCTGACGAAGAAGCATGGTGATTAGATGATAAAAAGATTTTACTCCGAGACAGCATTGGGTTCTTCTTGAATAATGTGGTACGTCAAATGATACGTCACGAGTTTCGTGGGCCTTTCTTTTAAAGCCCACGTTTATTATATACTACTACAGCAACATAATTTTTTTAGCATCATGTACATGATTATGTTCCTTTTGGTTTCGAAGATGATGCTGTTCAGCTATTATAAGTACAGTGTTTACATACCTTCCACAGTTCAGAGTTCTGTCCTTCTTGCGACACAACGGAAACAAATTACCTCTATTTTTACTTCCTTGTACGAAGTAAAAAGGAAAAAATATCCACTTTGACCACTTTCGAATGCAATTTAACGATGTTTTTGCGTGATATCTGCACGTAAGGACAAAATAAGACTCTTTTCCTCCAAAAAAACTAAAAAAACTGCTTTAAAATGAATTCTGAAGAGAATTTTTCGTGGCGTCTTACGAACGTATGTACGTACGTGCGTCCGTACGTATCTCGCATAACTCAAAAACGAGTAGCCTCAGAACGTTGAAATTTTGTACATACGACTACTATAACATGTAGATGCGCACCTCGTATTTTGGTTTCAATCGGCCGCCCCAAACGTATATAAATATGTTTATAGATATATCCACTCTGTTACCCGGCTCAGCGATCTCAGTTTCTTTACTCTTATATGTCTGTAAACTGCACTTTTTTTGCTTTAAAAATGATTGAATTATGTTGTTTTTATTTTCCGGTTAAGAGTTTTATGCCTTTAGTAAATCTGTATGCAATATTTTTAAAATTATCAAAAATTTTAAAGTTGCTTTTAAGTGCCGCTAAGCCTTTATTTTCATGGCGGCTGTGATGTATGGGTGACGCCAACCAACAAGATGTATAGAGGGCGCTAACTCTCAGTCTGGAGAGGCGCCAAAAGTTTAGTTTCCAGGAGGGAGACCGACAAAGAGGTCATACGGAAGGCTCGTGGGAGCCATTAATGAAACCGAAATTCACTTTTATTACTTTATATATTTCAGTTATTAGTAGTATAGTTTAGTATTAGTTTGTGTTTGTAAAATAAATGTTTAAAAATACAAGAAGGTGGAGTTATTTCTCTATGAGGCGGTGGATGAAGAAGGGATGATATCACACGCTCTCTTTCGAGAACCAGAGCTTTAGATGACGGTAGAGAAACTTCAAGAGAAGCAGGTAGGAAGCTTTTGATTTTATTTACTCAAAGTATAGATGTATTGAAGATATATATATACATGTGTAAGATATATATAAATTAAAATGTATAAGAATACTAAGAAAGAAGACTTAGTAAACCTTCTTGGTGAAATTGAAGATACACAAACTGTTGGTTTAACAGTGGTTCAACTAAAAGGTAAAATTGAGGACAGTAAAATATTTAAAGATGATCCAGAATTTGTAATTGGATTATTAAACTCAATAGTTGAGGAAAGAAAAATTAGAGAAGAAAATGAAATAAAAGCTAGGGATACACAGTTAGCCTTAGAAGCTCAAAAGGTTGAACTTGAAAAATTAAAATTAGCGCAGCTAGAGAAAGAATTAGAATTAGAAAAAGTTAGAAGTCAGAATACAGTTAAAGATGGATCTCGCGCAGATAAAGACATGATTACAGGTTCGGGAAATTATTTAGAAAATTTGATAAAGAGTGTTAAAACGTTAACTATTCCTGTTCCGGGAAGATCGGAAAATTTCAATTTGTTTTTTCAAACATTAGAGAGAGCATTCATAACTAAAAATGTACCACAGGAGCTCAAATCCGAAATTTTGATTAACATTTTAGGGGATAAGGCAACTAATATATTATTTTACACTAATGATGAAGAACTAAAATGTTATGAAACCATTAAAAAACTAGTATTAAAAGAATATCAGCCAACTGCTTATGAATGTTTAATGAATTTCCGAAGAGCACGACGCGATCCTAAAGAGTCACATGTTCAGTTCGCTTCTAGACTGTCTGCAAATTTCCAGTATTACTGTCAGTTACGTGAAGTTAATGACTTTGATGCACTTTGTCAACTAATGATTTCCGACAAACTTTTCCAAACGTTAGACAAAGAAACGGCAACTTACATTAATATTAAAACCGGAGAAAATTGGTTAAAACCTAAGGATTTAGCTAAAGAAGTTGACTTGTATTTTGTAAACAAAGGCAAATCGTTAAACGAAACCACTTTTAACACTAATGAAAACATAGCTAAATCGTCCCACTCTTCAAGAGAATCGAAATATATTCCGCCTCATATGAGAAGCAACATAAATAAAAATAAATATCCACCCAAAGACTGTTACATATGTGGAAAATTAACGCATCTCGCTAAATCTTGTCCACAAAGAAACAAATCGGTAACACAAAACCCTCCTCTAAAAAAAGAAACACCAGAGAGAAAAATACTAGTGATAAAGTAATAGCAAAAATCGGATCTTCATGCTTGTCAAATGAAAGTTTTACGCAACCATTGCAAAAAGTAAATATTTGCGTTGCAGGTAACGAAATCCAAGCCATAATTGATTCAGGTGCTGAAATTTCTGTTATAAATCCGAAACACATATCAAATTTCTCTATTGAGAACAACTGTAATATTGACCTTAATTTCTGCATTCGGAGAAACCATATCAGCTAAAGTGGCTAGAATTCCTCTATCCATCAAAAATACTGATAATCCTAATTTATTGAAACCTGTCGAAGTATTAGTAGCTTTAACAGAAAAACTTCATATTCCCTGCGTAATTACTCCAAATGTTTATGATTTTGACCTCTGAATCTCATCTGCTTAGCGCGAATCGTGATTGCGACACAGTGTCTCCATCGCAGATACCGGAAACGAGGAGTCATCAGTCAAAACAATTCGAAGGCGAAAGCCGCGCTGATTTATTTATGACAGGAGGAGAGCAAGATTTAGTCATAAGTTGCATTCAGGGCGAAAACGAAAGTGGGGTGGGTCAACATTCAGATGCCAGTATTTTTAAACAACAGCAAAGGGAATGTGAGACATTACGCAGTATCTATAAAAACGCGCAAAGAAATAAAAATAAAAATATTTTTTAATGGATGACTTGATTTATCATACTGAAAGAATTTCCGGAGAACAAGTTAGTCAATTGGTATTACCTAAAGTTAGAAGGGAACAAATTTTAAAATTGGCTCACGAATCTATTTTTGCAAATCATTTAGGGATGAGAAAAACAAAAGAAAGGATTCGTTATTCATTTTATTGGCCAAACATGTCACGAGATATTGAAGAATATTGTAAAACTTGTAAGGAATGTCAATTACAAAGTAGTGAAAAAGAAAGAAACTAATACAAAGATCGATAACGTATACCCATAGTTCCAGTTCAGAGGCCTGAATTTCCATTTGACACAGTGAATGTAGATATAATCGGTCCAATTGAACCTCCATCAGCACGTAAACACAAATATGTACTATGTTTAGTCGACCAACATTCTAGGTGGCCAGAAGCTGTCCCTTTGAGAACTATTACAGCAAAATCAACATGCGACGCATTATTAGAAATCTTTATGAGAACGGGCATACCTCGGGTAATAGCTAGCGATCAAGGTACCAATTTTGTTGCAGAATTAACACAAGAATTCCATGCCAGATTAGGAGCAAGTCCTAGATTTGCAACACCAGGACATCCACAAAGTTCGGGATTAGTTGAACGGTATAACCAAGTTCTAAAACGTATGCTTCATCATATCATTAGAAACGACTCTAAAAATTGGGACAAACATATACCATACCTGTTATTCGCTTACCGCGAAATTCCAAATTGTACTACGGGAGTATCCCCATTTAAATTAATGTATGGAAGAGAGGCCAGAGGTCCGTTGTCAGTATTAAAATCGTCATGGTCAGGAGAAATTCCATTACCAATAAAATTGGGTAAAAGTGCTGTTGATTATCTACAGGAGCTAAAGATGAATTTAGAAATAGCAGCAGAGCAAGCATCTATAACTGCAGAATTGAAACAAGGTGCATATGCAAGATATGCTAATCGAACGCCTGTTGAAGCTATATATAAAGAAAAGAATTCAACCCTGGAGATCAAGTGTACCTGCTGATTCCAGATTCCAGTAATAAATTATATGCCAGATGGATAGGACCTGCAGAAATAGTATCTCGTTGTAATCCAGATTCTTACAGAGTCAGACTGACAGATGGTACAATAAGAAGAGTACATGTAAATAAAATTCGAAAATTTAATCCAAAAGTACAGGCAGTAGGTGTAATATTTGAGAACGAAGAAGAACTAGGAGAAGTCCATTCCACACCCAGTGTGAGTGACAAGTCCGATCATTTTCATCTTAGCGAAGTAAATTTAAGCCATTTAGATGAAAAGGAATGAAATGATGAACTTGTTAAGAAAATATGAAAACTTATTTATAAATAAGTTACAAATTGCCAAAGTAGGAGAACATAAAATAAGATTAAATGACAATGAAAGGAAGAAGCCATATGTTTATCGAATTCCAGAAGCATTGAAGCCTCAAGTAGATAAACAAATCGAAGAAATGTTATCAATGGGATTGATTGAAGAAACCAACGCTGAAATTTCGTACCCTATTGTATGCGTTATGAAGAAAGACGGTAATATTCGCCTTTGCGTTGACTTTAGATCCCTTAATGCAGTAACGAAACCAGATGACTTCCCTATGGAAAATCCTAAAGAGCTCTTATTCTACATTGGAAAAGCCAAAGTGATATCCAGCATTGATTTACTCAAAGGCTATTGGGCCATACCATTAGAAAGAGAGAGTCAAGAATTAGCATGTTTCAAGACACATCGAGCTCAGTATCAATTTAAAGTCATGCCTTTCGGGCTACGCAACGCCGCTGCAACATTTCAGAGAGTCATGAACCAGGCCCTTGCTAAATACAAAGATTTTGCTCGAGCCTACGTCGATGACATAGCTGTTTATTCAAATAATTGGAATGAACATTTAGTACATCTTGACACCATTTTTTCAAAACTGTTAGAACTACAGTTTTCCGTAAATCTCAAGAAATGTTCCTTCGCTAAAACTCATATTAAGTATCTAGGACATATCATCGGTTCCGGCAGTCATCGTACAGATCCAGAGAAAGTGGAGGCTATCCAGAAATTAGCTAGACCTCAAACAAAAAAACAATTGAAAAGCATTCTAGGCCTATGTAATTATTACAGAGACTACATTCCACATTACGCCGAAACAGCTTATCCATTAACCGAGCTCACCAAAAGAAGAAGTCCTGAAGAGCTGTGCTGGACAGAAAAACACGACGAAGCATTCATTAAATTAAAGAAATGCCTAATGGAAGCACCTAGTCTTTATACCCCTGTTCCAGGGTTACCTTTTATAATTCAATGTGATGCATCTTCAACAGGTGTTGGAGCCTGCTTATCTCAAAGGAAAAACGGAAAGTTGTACCCGATTAGTTACGCCAGCCAGAAACTTACCAAAACACAACAAGCATGGCCAACTATCGAGAGGGAAGCTTATGCTGTTATTTGGAGCTTGAAAAAGTTTGAAACTTGGATTTTTGGATCACCTGTGGAACTGATAACTGATCACAATCCGTTAACTTTCATCACAAAGAACGCACCACAATCTTCTAAGTTACAGAGATGGGCTTTAGCATTACAAAAGTATGATACTACAATTTCACATTGCCCAGGTGCTAAGTTAAGCAATGCTGATGCGTTGTCCAGACTAGAGACTATTGAGTGACTTGTGTGAAAGAAAGAACTTTTCATAGACATTTATGAACTCTTAATATTATTACTATTTATTTGTGTTTTTCTTTTTCAGCTACTCTCCTAGAGACTTTTAAGTATATCATAGACGCTTTAAGTATTCTATTGCATTAGAATTGTTTGAATACTAATTTTTAATCATTTATATATTACAGTTTTAGAAGAAGTCTTGTAGTAGGTGTAGAACTAACCTGTATAAGTATTGTGTTATATATCTTTCAACTTCAGTATCGATTGATTTGTAGACTTTAGTAGGTAAGTAACTCTTTTGTTTGACGTCACCATAATTTGTCATATTTCAATAGGCTTTCACCCTATTTCAATCTTGGATGGGGGTGTGATGTATGGGTGACGCCAACCAACAAGATGTATAGAGGGCGCTAACTCTCAGTCTGGAGAGGCGCCAAAAGTTTAGTTTCCAAGAGGGAGACCGACAAAGAGGTCATACGGAAGGCTCGTGGGAGCCATTAATGAAACCGAAATTCACTTTTATTACTTTATATATTTCAGTTATTAGTAGTGTAGTTTAGTATTAGTTTGTGTTTGTAAAATAAATGTTTAAAAATACAAGAAGGTGGAGTTATTTCTCTATGAGGCGGTGGATGAAGAAGGGATGATATCACAGCGGCATTGATTGTTACATTGAAACAGCAAATAGGATTTGTTGCCACTAGATAAACTTAGCTTAACAACAAAGATATGTCTTCATTTATTATTGCCAATTAAATCATGCTTAATCTCTTTCTACTTCGTGATTTTTAAATATAGATATTTTGAGTTTTTATGTATTTTTGCCGCGCTTGCTTGTCGAGAAGTGAGGACTGAATTAATTGAATGAGAAATACTCAATCGTCTGTGAAAAAACTGTTTTTTTTGTTTTGTTTTCTTAATTTCTTTTATACATCATTCTAGCTTTATTATAGTATTTGAATAGAACATGTGGCAAACGATTAGATAATTATATTCTTTAAATGATATAAATTTTGTGCATCATTCTAGCTTTATTATAGCCGAAATTCACTTTTATTACTTTATATATTTCAGTTATTATTATTGTTGTTTAGTATTAGTTTTGTGTTTCTAAAATAAATGTTTAAAAATACAAGAAGGTGGAGTTATTTCTCTATGAGGCGGTGGATGAAGAAGGGATGATATCACAGCGGCCATTGATTGTTTACATTTGAAACAGCAAACTAGTGTATTTGTTGCCAATCTAGATAAACTTAGCTTTGCAACAACAAAGATAATGTCTTCATTTATTATTGCCAATTAAATCATGCTTAATCCTTTCTCGAATTTTTTCGAGGAAATAAGTGTTTAAGATTTACTTCGTGATTTTTAAATATAGATATTTTGAGTTTTTATGTATTTTTGCCGCGCTTGCTTGTCGAGAAGTGAGGACTGAATTAATTGAATGAGAAATACTCAATCGTCTGTGAAAACTGTTTCTTTTTTGTTTTGTTTGCTTAATTTCTTTTATACATCATTCTAGCTTTATTATAGTATTTGAATAGAACATGTGGCAACGATTAGATAATTATATTCTTTAAATGATATAAATTTTGTGCATTATGAGTTATAATATGAACGAAATATAATACTGTTAAGTGAATCTAGCGCCAGAGTGTCGCTATGATACACATACTAGAGTGAATTTTAAAGAATGCA